TCCTTCCTTCCTTCCTTCCTTCCTTCCTTCCTTCCTTCCTTCCTTCCTTCCTTCCTTCCTTCCCCCAATGGATGACAGGAGTTTCAAACCAGCCTACCCTTCTGCTGCAGAAGGGGCATGATGGCTCAGTGGTTAAAGACACCGGACTTGTCAGACGGAAAGCCGACAGCCCGGGTTCGAGTCCTGAGCTTCACAAGACGGGGTGAGCTCCCGTTCCCTGGCTCAGCTCCTGCTCACCTAGCAGTTCAAAAGCCAGCAAATGCGAGTAGATAAATAGGTACCACTTCAGAGGGAACAACGTTCCATGCGCTTTGGCATATACCGGAAGTCCTCGACTTATGACCGCTGTGGAGCCCCAAATTTACGTGGCTCAGCGAGAAATTTGTTGAGTGACTTTTGCCCCATTTTACAACATTCCTTGCCCCGTTTATTAAATCAATCATGGCAGCTGTCAGTCACACGATTGTTACGTGAATCTGGTTTCCCCCTGGACTTTTGCTTGCCACTGAAGCAGATCACCTGACTCTGGGACACCGCGCCCATCATAAATATGAGTCAGTTGTCAATCATCTGGATATAAATCACGTGACACCCCCCCACGGGGATGCTGCCGCAGTCGTTAAGTGTGAAAAACGTTTTTTTCGGTGCCGTTAAGGTAAAGGTTTCCCCTCGCACATCCCTGCTAGTTATTTCCGGCTCTAGGGGGCGGTGCTGATCTCTGTTACAAAGCCAAAGAAGAGCCAGCACTGTCCGAAGACGTCTCCGTGGTCACGTGGCCGGCATGACTGAACGCCGAAGGCTCACGGAACACCGTTCCCTTCCCACCAAAGGGGTCCCTATTTGTCTACTTGCATTTTTTTTTTTAAATGTGCTTTCGAACTGCTAGGTTGGCAGAAGCTGGGACAAGGAACGGGAGCTCACTCCGTAACGCAGCGCTAGGGATTCGAACTGCCAAACTGCCGACCTTTCTGATCGACAAGCTCAGAGCCTTAGCCACTGAGCCACCGCGTCCCCTAGTTTGTAACTTGGAAGGGTCCCTAAATGAATTGTTGTGAGTCGAGGACTACCAGGGTCTTCGGACAATGCTGGCTCCCTCGGGGTAAGGAACGGAGATGAGCAGTGCCCCCTAGAGGTGGACACGACTGGACAGAGGAAACCATTTGTGATGACCCAAGGGGGTGTGGCACAAAGGCAACACAGTCAGATAATCAATAAGACTCCTTTTATTAGCTCCAACTTTGCCCCCAATGTCCTGGTTGCCTTCTGGGCTGGAGAAAAACTCTCCCAGGAACAGCCTTTGGCTGCAGGGAATCAAGTCCAAAACATGGTCAACAAAAACTGTAACTATAAGTCCAATCAAGCCAAACAGAGGCAATTAGTTGGGCAGGTCAGGAGCAAGAATTCCAGATGTGAAGGAACGGCAGTAATTCAACATGGTTGGGAAGATGCCAGGAATGCACATAGCCAAAGTGAACACAAGATAAACTCATGTTTGTTCCCAGAAGACGCCGCTCTCAGCCTGCATCTCCTTTAAACTCTCATTCCCATCTGTGGCTAATGAAGGGAATCAGGGCCCTTTCCTCCCCCGTAAGCCATGCAACCCACGTTACTCCCTTCTCTGTTCCTCCTTGCGTGCCCTAGGATGAAAGTGGGCCTGGGTCTTCCTCTGAACTCCCTCTCCCTTGTTCTACCTCTTCCCTGCTCTGCCCAGCCGGACTTTGCCCTTCCCCAGTTTCCTCCCAGCCAATAGAGCCACACTCCCGCTCCCTGTCGCCTGTTCCTCTTCTTCCTCGGATTCAGACTCCGACAGGGGCATGACATCTTTTTAACTTCTCCTTGCCTTCTGCTGCTGGAATAGGAACCTTTTCCTCATTCCTCCCATCTTCTTCCTTTCCAGGCATTCGGAAGTATCCAGAGAGTCGGAGGAGCGTGAACCCTACCTCTCCTCAGCTGATCCGCACCCTGTGGACCAACGGCTCAGCCAGGGACTTCTTTTCCAGGAGACCTTCTCACCTCCGTCGTAATGCCCACAAAAAGAGGCTAAGAGCAAAGTTGGGTCCCTGTTACTATTCGCCTGTCCAGCTTGGAGGTCCCGAGGACGGCCTTTACCAGGCACGCAACCCCTCGTCCTGGCCTGCATTCCCTGACCCCACTGGCTTGGAGAGGAGGCCCATAAGTACCTCTGAAGGCCCTCAATCCCTTCTAGGTTATTACCCTCCTGGCCCAGAACATGGGGGCTACGGCTGGTGGCCCGTAGGTCCTACTGAACAAGAGCGTGGCCCTCAACCCGGCCCAAATTTTAATTCTCACGCCCCGCATCACACGGGCTGGGAGAGTTGGCCCATATCTTCTTCACTGGAAGGAGGACGGTGCCTTCCACGCTACTACGACGGTCGTTCTCACGACCCATTTCGCGCTGCCTATGATGCTACACTCATAAACGGACAAGAATATCCCCCTCAACCCAACGCAGGTTATTCTTCGGTCCCAGATAGCAGAGCCCTACATCGTGTAGAGCAAGGGGTCCAATGCTATTCAGATCCTGACGTTTCTCCCTTCCAAGATGACTGGCTCACCAGCTTTGCTCCCCAGGGGTCCAGAGCCCACCCCAACGGTCCCCCTTCTTTCCCACAAGATGTGGGTGAGGCCAGCGGACCCCTGAGTCCTGTGGAACAGGAGCAGGGTCTCCAGCCCCATCATTATTCCCAGGCTGCCCAGGGACCTGATGATGACAGCTGGGTCATGGGTTTGCCCGAGCGAGCCCGCTGGCTCCCGTTTCACCCTAGGAGGGACCTGCCTGCCCATCACAATGTTAGGAGTGGCCCTTGGTCCACAGGTGGAGGTGAAGGAGACCCGGGCTTTCCATCCCACGCAGAAGGTACGTTCCTGGTTTTCCTGCCACTTATTTCAGGGGTGGGAAGAGGGCCAACCCAAGGTTTGAGCTGGAAGTGGGTGAGAAGGAAGGTTCTAGAGAAGTATGAATTGGAGGAGGAGGAGGAGGAAAAATGTGGGATCCTTGGTGCTCTCTGAGTTTGGTTGCTTTCTTGCAGACGTTTTATGACCCAACTAGGTAACATAATCAGGGAAGGAAGGAAGGAAGGA